CTTGTTTCCATTCCCACTGGGGGAATATGGTGAGCTGCTTAAGGTCGTTTGAACAAATTTTTATATAATTGTAGGATATTCCATTCATTCCAGTCGCAATAACGGTACGGAATTTGAGGCCGAATTCTCGCTTTAGTCCGCTGTCATTAAATATGACCTCTGGACTTTGGGGCCTAAGAAGGTCATACATAGCAGGATTTGGAAGAACTTTCCAAGTATCAGAATACGTCAGTCTCAGGTGTTTCTCGAGTTCCATGTTCGGTACATCAAGTTTTTTCATCTAAGATTCTGGGAACAGCTTATTTGCAAACCGTAAGGATTATTGTAAAATGATCTCTGAGACCGTCGATTTTCCTTCCGAAGACCTCTTTGGTTCTCAGCTGTAGTGATTACTAAGATCCTTTCATTAATATCCTTAAGCAGGTTCTTAACTTGGAGCTTCTTTGAGTCAGCTCATTATAATTCTCTGCTCTGCTCTTAGTTTACCCTTCTGAAAATATCGTCTATTGGGTCACTTCTCTTCTTTCTTACCCCCTCTTGCAGTTGCAACACTAAACAGCTCAAGACAAGACTCGTGCACAATTCTGCAGAAAGATCTGATCTGCTGACCAATGGGATCCTTTAGATGGTTGTTAGGTATTAATAAGAGTTGCTGATCGGGATTCGACCAACTAGATCTCTGATTGTCTTTGGGCTACTGGATTCTTGGATTGCTTCGTATTTCTCCAGTTTGTTGACGCTCAGCTGTGGAATCCTAAACGGTTTAATTCGGATTCATAATCTCATCATTCGACTTACATTCTCATTTAAACTGTCTTCTAACTTCTCATTAGAATTTCTCTCGATCAAATTTTAATCCCCACTTTCACTTTTAGGCCTTCCTGTTCTTCTCTCGTCGGTTACCCCTCTCTAGAACTTTCTTTTACCTCGCATATTCCTTCCCCACTCTCATACATACACTCTCGGTAAATTTTATCTTTTTATTCCCGCAGCTATTTTTTCTGATTTCTTTTTGAATCTGTAGGTCTGATGAATTTGATCGTATTTACGATTCCAATGTAATGAATTATAACCATGGAATATTAGTGTTTAAGACATTTTATTATATATATATATATATATATATATATATATATATATATATATATATATATTAAGGCATTAAAACAAGACATTTTATATTGTAAGCCATGATAGATTTAAAACAAAAACACAAACACACAAAATCTATCATGGCCTACAATATAAAATTTCTTGGTTTTAATGCCTTAATACGCTTTTTGTACTGTTTCAAACATATTTAAATATATATATATATATATATATATATATATATATATATATATATATATATATATATTAGGTTGGTGCAAAAATAATGTCGTTTTTTGACGTTAAGTTGAACGTCAAAAAATGACATTATTTGCTAATTCTCCCAAGAAGTAGATTCACGTTAGGAGAAAACCACTAAAGCCATACACCCACACGTCGATATTAATTCACTAACTCCTGAGGTGAATTAAAATAAATTTCAATATTTAGATTTAGTCACATACTTATTTTTATTTTTAAAAAGATGAACAACAACAACAACAACAATAATAATAATAATAATAATAATAATAATAACAACATTATCAGCTTGCGTATGATATAAAATTCGGTATGGTCGAATCAGCCAATATCTGCACTTGAAAATATGCCCCTTTTACAGTTACAGAGATAGATCCGGTAACAATTTTATGGGAATTTTGCAATACACACAGATAGAACAATCAAAGCTAATCGCCTAGACACCAGGATCAAAAATTGCAAGAACTGAATGTGCTTTCTTATTCACACATCAGTCCTTGCAGATTGTAATGTACCTTTTAGAAAAATGATACAATCGATCTCTAAAAAAAATCAAAATAAAAGTATCTTGAAGTCGAAAGATAAATAATGTGACATGTAAGGACATCAATACTTCCAGTTGTAGTTGGAGCCCTCGGATTGGTTGGAAAAGGTTTCGATAGACTCATTGAAAGGATTCCTTTTGGTAGCCTATGCCTTAAAGAAATGTCAAAAAATTACCATCAAATACTACTCACATATTACTAAGAGCTTTATCTATGTAAAATATGTGTTCTTAGGTTGTTTTATTTTTGTTTTGTTTTTTACAATAAATGATCAGAGGAAAATGTCAGGAAGCCATTTCTAATTTTAGGTCTCTGGTTGGGACCCGGGAGGAAATATGTATACAATAGAAATCTAAGAAATCAATATTATTACTACTACTACTAATAATAATAACAATTTACACACAAACAGAACAATCAAAGCTAATCGCATGAACATCGTGATCAGAGACAAAATGTGCCAACTTGTTGACATGAAATCTTTGCAGATTGTACTGAATCTTTGAAGATTTTCAAAAACATATAGAAATACAAGGACCTTGAAATGGAAATCTCAGAAATGTGACGCTTGAGGACATCAACAACTCCAGTTGTATATGGAGCACTCTGATCTGAGAGATTCCAATTGACTCAATGAAGGGGTTCTTGGTCGCCCATGCTTTAAAGAAATACAAAAAAAATGTACTCACAGGTACAGCCCACAACTTACTGTAACAATTTTATGGGACTACACAATACACAAAGACAGAACAATCAAAGCCAACTGATATGTTATTAGAGACTGCAAACAAATAAAGTACCCTCCCTTTTGATATGGCAGTCCCTGCAGACTGCAATGTATTTTTGAAGATCTCCAAAAAGCTATCAAAATACAAGGACCTTGAAATCGAAATCTCAAAAATGTGACATATGAGAACATCAACAATTCCTGTTGAAGTTGGAGCCAACGGATTGGTTGGAAAAATTCCAGTAGAATCATTGAAGCGATCCTGAAAGTCCATGCCTCAAAGAGATACAAAAATTTGTTTCATAAGTACAGCCCACACCTTACGAAGGGCTTTATCTGTGTAATATATATATATATATATATATATATATATATATATATATATATATATATATATATATATATATATACAGTATTTACATTAGTCGGACTATTGTCCTCATCTTTGTCGCCATATTTGTCACAACGTTTCGGCCGTTGTACGCTCCGGCCTCCTTCAGGAGGTTGGAATTTCGAACCGAACCCTTTATTTCGCTCACTAGGGTAGACTGTTCTAGTTCCACGCCATGTTTTGTCAGTTATCAGTTATCTCCTGCTAATTTTCCCTCGGAAATTCTCCACTGCCTTAACCAGGTATTGAACTCACCTTCTTTGGGTTTATATATTGAACTCACCTTCTTTGGGTCTCTCTCTCTCTCTCTCTCTCTCTCTATATATATATATATATATATATATATATATATATATATATATGTGTGTGTGTGTGTGTGTGTGTGTGTGTGTGTGTGTGTGTGTGTGTGTATTTTTTAATTGGTCAGTGGAAAATTATATGATGTCATTTCTGACCTTAGATCTCAGATCAGGACCCGGAAAGAAATGTGTACACACTAGAAACCAAAGGAATAATAATAATAATAATAATAATAATAATAATAATAATAATAATAATAATGAAAATGATTATGATGATAATAATAATAATAATAATAAAAATAATAATAATAATACTAATGATTTGCGTGCTTGGTTTCTGCTCTCATTTGAATATTTGATCCTCAGAAAGCATGTGGAATTGATGGTTTCTCTATAATTGTATTTAAGAAGTATGCCTCAGAACAGATCCCCTCTTTTTTCAAGTTCTACAATAAATGCTTCGCTGTTTCTTGCTTTCGGGACTATTGGAAATCCTCTTCTGCAGTTCCTATTTTAAGACGGTAGACGGAATGCACCTTGTTAAAAAAAAAAAAAACCCAAAAAAACAAACTGTGCGTCTACTCAAACAAGGTTATCCACTAAAAATAACGTTTAAATCAAGAAAAGTGCCAATTTAAAAATAAATCCATTCATTCTCCAGAAATTACTTTGTTTACGTTTTGTTTCCGTTTCAGAAATCTGGAAAACCTTTACAGAAATCTGGAAAAAAAAACGTTTTCAGAAATTTGGAAAAACGTTTGATACTTCGGACTGTCCACTTATTAGGCTTCTGGCATTGTTTGGTCAAGTAGAAGAAGTCCTGATAAACTTCGAATTGGTCAATCATTTCGACGCTTTTGCTTCTCTAGGTTAAATGCCGATGTGTCGACCTTTACTACTTGTTTGAATGTTTGATTCGTTTTTTACGTCTTATCAACCTATTTATAGCCAGAAAATATTTTTAGATTGTAAGATTTTGTTGTGGTGGGGAGATAGTGATTTTAATAGTATAAATCTTACTAATTAACACATAGGTGGGGGAAGAAAAGTTTGAATCATAATGTTCCCAAGGGTATTTTCGCGTCAGGGAATATAACGTTCCCAACGGGAATCGAAACCCGGTTCGCCGATTAACGGTTCCGAGCCATTATCCATTATTCTACCTGTATTTCCAAGCTCACAGACCCTGAGACACCCAAGAGCTCACCCATCTACGTACTAATCAAGTTTGACGGTGTTTGAACCTAATATGTTATTAAACCCGATTACTGTTGAAAAAGTCTGTCAAGCTTTACATAAGAATGTCTAATCTCGGTCTGTTGCGTTAAATATTTCGAAGGCATTTGACAGGGTTTGTCATGCTAGACTTCATTTCTGTGAGCTCAAACCTGCTACGTTCAATGACATTAATTTTCCTATAATAATATAATAAATTTTCCTATAATAATATAGTAAATTTTGTTATATTATTATAAGAAAATTTAGATTTTCCCAATAAGTGCTAATTTGTGGGACGGACTGTCACGTGGAAGCTTACCCGAATACTGAATCTCTTAATTTCAAGAGTCAGACTGTATTTATTTTCTTGAAACTCTTAGTATTTAATTAGCTTCTCTTACATTCATATCACATACCTCATCTTGTAACACACTACTATGAAGGGCTTTTGAATCTTGTAATAGCCGAAGGAAATGTACAATTATCTATAACGGTCTATATCTATCTCACTCTAACGCAGGTTTTGACAGAAAAAGTATCATTACTCGTAATTAATTCGGATTATTTTAAAATCGATCTCTCTTAAGAAAAACAGACCACTTTAAGGTACCGTTACAATAATTTATTTCACCAGAGTCCTTTTAAAAGGACGCCGGATCATCAGATAGCACTTCCAAAAATGAAATGAAACAAAAAAAAAAGTGGTTGATGATTAACCAAAGGAAATAATAATAATGATAATAATAATAATAATAATAATAATAATAATAATATTTCCGTATAGGAATACAGGTTCGATTCCAGTCGGAGGATACATATTTTCTACGGAATTTTTCGAACATTCAGACCGGTGAATGTAATTAATACTGTTTAATTACAAACAAGGCATTTACTTAGATAAATTGTATCTATAAAAATATTAACGTACAAACAGAAGATGTATTAAATAGCCGGACTTAATCTATTTTATATATATATATATATATATATATATATATATATATATATATATATATATATATATATATATATATATATATATATATATATATATATATATATATATATGTGTGTATGGTGGAATCTCCGTCGTATACGACTTATGTGGGTCAAGCAGCTCAGTTCCTCGGAATCGACGGCCAGACACCAGCACATATGCTTTGATTATAGTAGTGAAGGTTTTGTGCAGAACCACCCACACTTTTTCGAAGGGCAGGATACAGAGACCTGGTGCACCATGTACCACAATGACCCCAAACGACTTTCCGCAGGTTTTTGAATTCACAGTTGTTCTTCTCCTAGACCAGCTGCCATCCAAGCCTATAGAATCCAGTCTGTTCCGCTATTTACTCATAGCGAGAGAGAGAGAGAGAAGAACAGGATTCATACCTTTCCCAAGGGTATTAGCATGTAAGTGAAGGTAATGGATTCGACTTGAATTCGAATTCGGCTCTTGGATTCCTCAATCCGAGCCGCTATCCACTTCTTTACCGTGACTCCTCTAGCCGGATTCCGATCCTATCTAGCGGCACTCGGACGTCTAGTCACCCTGATGAGCTGTGATACAGCGAAACATTCTGTCTGTGCATGACAATATATATGGTCCTGAAAAATTATTTCAGTTAAGCTTTTTGGGGGAGAAACTGTGAGTTTGTAAACAGTGATTATTACTGCTACTAAGGCAATACTCTTCGATAAAACGAATCGAGTTCTCTCAGTCACTATGTGTTTATCTAAAAGTATGTACCATAAATTCACCTTCATTTCTGTCGTGCACTTATGGCTAAGGGGAAGATTTTCCGATTGACGCCAATTCAGCCGGGTTTCGATCCTAGCAATAGGCAACCGGATGTCTAGCAACACTGATGAGCTGAAATCTTAACGGATGAAACGCGTCACAAAAAAGTTTGTCATATATATATATATATATATATATATATATAGCTTAGGGGGAAAATCTCTGACTTAAGCAAAATCAGCTGATGAGCTGTGATACAGCGAAACTGTCAGTAAATGGCAATATATATATATATATATATATATATATATATATATATATATATATATATGTGTGTGTGTGTGAGTGTGTAAAAATGATTAATTTGTAATTCGACACTTTCATTACTTCAGATGTTATTACGGTTGATATATACATATTGAAAAAGACACTGTATTTCTCGAATATATATATATATATATATATATATATATATATATATATATATATATATATATAATATTAGTGGTAAATATACACATACACATGCAAAATATATAAATGAATTTGTAGGTCTGATGAATTGGATCGTATTTACGGTTCCAATGGAATAAATTATGACCATGGAATATTAGTGTTTAAGCCTTTTTATTATATATATATATATATATATATATATATATATATATATATATATACGTCAGTTCTCATCTAATAATGTGCTTTTCCGTTTAAATAGTCCGAATACACATAGACTATTGGAAATAAGTTCTCAACACTTTTATATGATTTCTATATTATAAATGTATCATCTATCTTTCAATTTCTCTCTGCCTTTCTCAAAATGGAAAACATTTCGCTCCCTGTGGCTTTTTCGGATTAGAATGAAATAGAGACGAAATTGTATGAAAGAAGAGACGCGTAAGGGATCTCTAAGGATAAGTGGGGCCAGAAAGTAATTTATATTAGAGCCTTTGATTGTCTGTTGAATTTGAAATCAGTCCACAGATACACACACACAGAGACACACACACACAGGCACACACACACACAGACACATCTATCTAGCTATAATTACTTGTCCAAATTTATCTATCTATCTATCTATCTATCTATCTATCTATCTATCTATCATTACTTGTCCAAATCTTATCTATCTATCATTACTTGTCCAAATCTATCTATCTATCTATCTATCTATCTATCTATCTATCTATCTATCTATCTATCATTACTTGACCAAATCTATCTATCTATCTATCTATCTATCTATCTATCTATCTATCTATCTATCTATCTATTATTGTCCAAATCTATCTATCTATCTATCTATCTATCTATCTATCTATCTATCTATCTATCTATCTATCTATCATTACTTGTCTAAATCTATCTATCATTACTTGTTTAAATCTATCTATCTATCTATCTATCTATCTATCTATCTATCTATCTATATATATATATATATATATATATATATATATATTCTTTTGCTCATTTCTAATATCTCATTGATTGTTCCTTCTAAATGACGATACAATTATATCGCTTCCTTCTTATTTTAAGCAAATGACACGCGCCTTCAACCAAATCACAATTCATCATCTCGGCGATATAATGACGTTATTGATTTGCAATGTTTGCAATAATGCCTTCAGGTCCCGATTCACATCAGTTGTATAATTTCGTTGATGCCGTTTCCTCAGCTTCAGACTGTAAGCTTGAAAGAAAAGAAAGAATTGATTTCTCACTTTCTTTAACGGTTTTTCTGAATAGCTTCAATGTAAGAATACAAGAAATCTCAGTTGTTGCTTAAGGTAAAACAAACGGCTCGAAGAGAAATGGAAATGAATTGTTTTCCTGATAAAGACCAGTTCAACGCCGGGAGGATTTTTTTTTTTTTTTTCAAATTGTCTGTGTCTCCTTAATATTTAAAATCAAAATTTGGATGTTCAAGAAACGACATGTTGAAGAAGTTTTGTACTTTGTGACTCCAACACCATCTAATTGTATTTAATCTTTTAACACCTATAAAGGCAATAAAGCCACTACGACGCAATAGATTTCGGAGTGTGAAAGTGTATGAGAAAAATTAAAGACATTATTAAGGAGAGTGAACAATAAAAGAACGGGCGTAAAGAGGCAGAAGACAACGATTGAAAGTGTATTTAAATTGCTGAATATCAAAGATGACTGAAAAACAAAAATAAAACCGGAAGAGAGTTCTGCAAGGGGGTGATGAAATTTTTTCTATCAATTTCAACTGTAAAATCAAGAGACCTAGCTGCCAATCTAGTACTGAATTTAAATTTATTAATCGAGGAAAGTGCACTAAAACAACTAGAATGGAAATATTTATAGCAAAAACAGAGGGAAGCTATTTTCTAATGGTGAAAAAAAAGAGACTTCAGGCGAGGTGTCATATCAGGACGTATAACGTGACAGATTCGTATTTGGGTTTCAGCAAGAATCTCTAAATGCATAGCAGAAGTACCAGACCAGATATAGCAGGAATATCTAATGCATGGTGAAAGGTAGACTTAAAAATATGCAAGATAGATTCTGGCGGGAAAAATTGACAAGCACGTGACTGTTGCCAGTGCTAAGAATTTTTGATACATTAGGGAAGAACATCTACTGGCAGCAAACCGCCTGCATACGGATAGAAAATTAATTATGACCCAAAATATAGGGTTGTAAGACAAGGATATAGCTTCTCACCGGACTTATTAAACCTAGACAGTAAGATCACTCTGAGAGAATTAGGAGTTCTACAAGATTTCATTATTGACAGACATAATCTTAAAAACATAAGATATGCAGACGACGCAGTATTGATAGCAGAAGCACAAAGAAAACTACATGAACTCCTAGTTTGTAGTGAAGGAAAGCGAGAAGAATAGACTAAACATGAATTACAAGAAGACGAAATGCATAGTTGTCAGTAAAAGCAACAGCCCAGCATGCAAATTGGAACTTGGAGATACCAAAATCAAACAAGTGCAGCAATTAAAATTTTAACAGTCGATGTAAAGTGCAACACCGAAATCTGAAGGCGCATTGAGATAGCTAAAGATGTCTTCTAAAAGCTAAGCGAAGTATTAAGAAATGGGGAGATTTCATTAGAAACAAAGGAAAGGGTACTGAATTGCCCTCCTATATTGCAGAAAATGCTAGACATTTTCCTCAAAGATGAAGCAGAGACTTCAAGCAACAGAATTCTGGTTTGGTTCTACAAAATGATGCTGAGAATATCATGGAGTGAACACGTGAGCAACGACAAACATTTTAGAGGAAATTGAAACAAAAAGGATAATTATAATTAACATCATACTTATTATAAAACCCAGGTTGTGTGTGTGTGTCTGTTCGTTTATATATTGGATCGGATTTCCTACATTTTTCAATCGATTTCAACAAATCTTCACAGGACTACGTAAAATTACCTTGCGGTGGTTCTGACAGTGCCAAAAATTGAAAAAACACAATCGTTTTTGCACGAAATCAATTTGAAAACACGATTAAGAGGCATCGCTGTTTCGAGAATGAAAGGGGTACAACTCATATCGAGTTATATTTATTATAAAACCCAGGTTGTGTGTGCGTGTGTGTTCGTTTATATATAGGATCGGATTTCCTACATTTTTCAACCGATTTCAACAAAACTTCACTTTTTTTTGGCAGGTAGTGTTTCTTATTGTCTTACACACTTTTTTCTTTATTTTTACATTCAGAATACTTTAAAAATTCCATTTACAAGGCAATTGTTTATAATAAAATTGAAAAATTCTATTCAATCGGTAGACTCATAACGATTTAGAACAATGTTTTTGTTTGATTTTGGGTTTGACCAATTCGTAAAAACGCAAGAAAAAAAAAAAAAAAAAAAACTAATTAAGACATGCGTGTCCGTCAACCTTAAACAATAATCTTTGTCTATTTTATTTTTCAGTCTTTATGATTGTCGATACTTGATCTATCTCTTACTGTTACATCCCCGTGCAACGCCGGGCTCTACTGCTAGTCTAGAATAAGCAGTTGAAATTTATAGGATATATAATAAGGAAAGATGCCTTGCAAAATATGACACTCACAAGAACTGATTGAGGACAAGAAGGACTCATGATAACAAATCTACAGGTTTTAGCATCCTAACCCTGTTCTGCCAACCATTTACTGGGTAGGTTATACGTTGTTTTCCTCTGTCACTCCATCTCTTCTCATGATTATCGAATTTTCCAAGGCATCTTTCCTCATTATGTACCCTAGAAATAAAAAAAAAGACACAATTCATTAAGAGCTAAAAAGGACGGCATATCCAACATCGCCTGAATGGACTCAACATATAGAAGAAGAAGCAGGTTACATTGTTAGACAAATGCTCCCCTAATGCTTCTCATATGTTTAATTTTCTTATCTACTACATTATGTTTTGTATTTTTTATATAGTAAATCTCTTTGTGATTATGTAGCGCTAAATTACAGAATCTAATGCAGGATTGTCTTCTTTAGAGATTATAGAATTTTTTTTAACCATTCTGTATACAGACGATAGTTTCGACAATTCTGAATGTGTAGAACGGCATTCCTGACATCTAGATTCAAGTCTAGGTCTGACGAGGCAATTTAAGTGCAACCCATCCCTGGATTTAAGCTAGAAGTAGGTTTTTGAATATTTAGTTTTTCTTTTCTTTTCCAGTAAACTTAGCTAGGGTGTGTTTGCTCATTGCCCCTTTTTATTTCTGTCCCTCTTTTTTCCTTTAGTTTAACTCTCCATTCCCTCCCTCGTTAGGTGGTCAGTGATGTCAGTTCTCCGGTGGATGCAGGGTGCCTTTCGTATTTGTTGTTGTGTCAGAATGAGTTCATGTCTGTGTGAGTGCTTGGGATGGATGAATGTTTTTCTATATTCTTATAGTCCCGCATCGACTTCGTCCAGTTAACTGATATTTCTACCACATTTAAGGTTTGTGGTGGTGATGGTGTGGGGTTATTACTGACATGATTTTGTTTAGTTTCTTGTAAATAGTTTATAACCATATTGTGTATATATATATATATATATATATATATATATATATATATCATTGGGGTGTTTTTAGCTTGTTGTTTTTTTTATTCCCCTCTCCTCACAGACAACAATTTATTATTCTTAACATAGTCTGGTAAAAGGTTGACGAAAACGTAGTTGGTCACAGTGTGTGGATGGCAAAATTAAAAAATGGATTGCAAGACATGTATTTTATTTTTTAATCATTTCACCCCAATCAAGGCAATAAAGCTACTAAGGCATAATAAGTAACTGAGTGTGAAAGTATATGAAAAAAAGAAGAAATACAAGTATTATTAACCCTTTGAAGTCTGCGTTTCTGAACATTTTTAAGCCTTTTACCTAAGCTCCTGAGTCAAACTTCGCAAATAATTAATATGTAATGTTTTACGCTAGATATAAAAATAGTTACATGTGTTTTTACCCACCGTTTAACCACTGGCTGGACTTTAAGTCATTTTTCTCTACCACTGTTCAACCGGGGTCCGCGCATTATGTCATTTTTCCCTACCGCCGGTAAAGCGGTGGTCAGGGATCAAAGTGTTAAGGAGAGAGAATACTAAAAGAACAGGAATTAAGAAAACTGAAAATTACTTGTCAATAAGGATTTGATAAAAAATATTCCTTACGAATCTTTCCTGACAAATGAGTGTTTGAATTAGCGTAGGGGTTATTAATTTGAAAAATGGTATCGGGTGACCAGGTTTAATTGCTACCTGCTTAACTTTATATTCGCCTTAATGTCTTTAGGAGAAGTATGAAATCGCTTCTCCGTCCAGTTATATGTAAATAAATTTGAACCTCTTCCTCTCTGAAGAATCGTCCAGTTCTGTGGATGTTGCTTTGATAGAAAACACACACACACACACACATAAAAAAACAAACAAATTATAGCTTGGCGGCTGGTATAGATGGTCTCTAGCCTGGTTGAAAATTGTGGAGGACTACACCCTTAATTGGAATAACTGCTTTAGTCCCCTTTATTTCAGCATACGTTCAGTTTCACACCCACTGGAGTGACGGGGTGTAATTAATTTCTATTTTTTCCTCAGATTAGATCAATTGCAGTAGTGTGCAGTAACATAAATCTATTTTCCGGGTGTATGATGAAATTTGTTTTGCGTCAGATTTTTATCACGTCTGGACACTATTGTCTCGACTATCGATTAGATATCCTACGGCCATTGTTTGTAAATAATAACAGATTTATTCGTTTTGTTTCCAATAATTTTCACGAGGGTGTAGATATTGAAAGAGGCTTGGGCTCTGTTAACGATAATTTGTTAAAAAGACGGTAAATTATATAAGGAATAAGTCGTTCAAAATGGTGACTAACTTTGCCTGCGATGCCATAGCAAAACGGAAGAGCGTCTAGCGTAGCGGTTATCGTCTTAGAAAATATGATTAGCGAGTTGAAATTCTAACAGATATCGTTGCGTTCAATTTCTCCAAATTACAATTGGTAAAGATAAGAAGGCATCAATT